TCAAGGAGACTAGCCAGTCACAGCTGTTGGATGTTGGCAAAGCGCAAACAGGAGAGGAGGCCCCTGGTAAGTGGATTTGATTTTGGGAATCGCTGAAGCGAATTGTTGGGGGAAGGAGGGTTGCAGAAAGCAGACTTGTCTCCCACCGCATGCCTAGTCTGAGCGGGGGAACAGGCTGTTGTTTGACTCCCTCACTTCATGGGAATCTCCCTCAGAGATCTCCAGGAAACTTTCATGGAGATACTGGGCAATCCATTGCCACAGGTTCTTCAGGACAGCTGCTTTGTTTCCTGCCCCATTAATGGTAACTTTCCCATGCCACTGTGCCATCATGGGGGGTGGTGGTGGTGCAGGGAGAACCATTGCTGCACATAGGCGAGCCGCATAGGGGCTAGGGCGGAAGCCGCAGTCTTGGAGAAGACCCTCCCTTGATTCCCTGCTGACCCTCACCAGCGAGATATCTTCCATAATGATCACATCCTGTGGAAAGTGTGGGGACAGGAATGTTATCAGGCCCCCACTACAGTCTGGCTCTCCCCAAGAGCCACATGCCCAGTGTACAGCAAGGTCTGGGAAGAGTGATTTACCCTGCCACTGCACCATTTGGAGGTCTTGTGGCTCATGTGTGCTTGCCTGGGATCAGCCAATTAGTGACAGGTGTCTGAGTACTGGCTGTATTTTAAATCACTGAATCAGTGTTCTCTGTGTTGCAAACAATACTGCTTCTATAAAATGTTGTATTTAAAGTTCACAGATGACCTTGGGAGCCCAGCCTCCCTCTTTTTTATCGGCGGCTGAACAGCTGCGCGGAATTAGAAAGCAACCAAGAACTCAGGAGGACTTTCTGTGTGATGTTATGATGCACTCCGCAGCCGAAAAACAGGAATTGAAGGAATGGTGAGACAGCAAGAAGAAGAACTGAAAGGAGAACGCAGCATGCCAGAATGAAGCCACAGAGCAGCTCTTAAATGTTATGGAGCACCAAGCAGACATGCTCCAGGCAATACTAGCTCTTCAAACCGAGCAGCTCCATGCCTGCCCTCCTCTGCAACCGCTATCACAAAACTCTTTCCCATGCTCCCCGCAGACACCACCAACGCACTTTTATCAACCTCCTGGCTCCAGTCTATACCCACAACATTCCACTCCTCCCCCCTCACAGTCCAGTATTGCAGACTCCCACGACCCACTGTATTCAACACCCATCTGTAGCGGGGTAAACACCTGCTTGGGCCCAGAAGGTTTTAAGATAGCTCTGGGAGAGGGCTGGGGCTGATTGGCAAAGCAGCGGTAGCTGGGGGCCACACCCCAAACAGACCCAGCAGGCCTTATAAAAGCCAGGGAAGCCAGGAACAGAAGAGACACTCTCTAGCTTCTGAGAGTGAGAGACCTGGCTGCAGGGACCTAAGCAGAGTCCTAGATTAGAGAGGGCTGGAGAAGGGCCTGGAGAGCTCCAGCCAGGAAAGCCCCAGGCTGCGGCCTAGCATTAGGCCCAACAGTTACTGGGGTTGCAGGGGACAGCCCAAGGTTAGACAGAGGCAGCAGGTCCAAATCTAACCTTGCCTGTGATGAGTGGCTCATACTGCAGTCTGCTGCAGGGGCTAGATAGTAACTAGCAGGAGCCTACAACTGAGGTGAGGTAGGGATAGTGGGTGGGGGGTTCCCCTGGGAGGGGGAGACCCAGAACTGTGGGGCACCGCCAGCGGGCGGCACCCAGTGAAAGGGGCACCGCCAAGGGGCAGCACCCAGTGAAAGGGGCACTGGGGTCCTGGAGAGACACGGGAACCAGCAGCAAGGCAAGACATCGGCCTGAAGAGGGTGCTCCGGAGGCTGTAATGCTAATTCCCTGAGATGACCAGCAGGAGGCGCCGCCGGTGAGTCTGCGCCCTGTGACACCATCTGTAGTTAGGCGCTGCCGAAGCACAGTACCTGCTGCACTGTACTCCAAAGGAGAAGGTTGGAAATGAACCCTGGACATAATCACCTGCTAGCATTACAAGCACTGCACTCCTAAGCATAGCAACAAATATTAGTGGGTTTCAGCTTCAAAATGCTGCCTCAAGGCATCCCTGATCCTTATGGCCCTGCGCTGTGCCCCAGTAATAGCCCTGGTCTCTGGCTGTTCAAACTCAGCCTCCAGGCGCTGAGCCGCTGTGGTCCACCCCTAAATGAAGCTTTCATTCTTCCCTTCACAAGTATTATGGAGCGTACAGCACACTGCTATAAGCATAGGAATATTGTCATTGGCCAGGTCCAGCTTCCCATAGAGGCAGTGCCAGTGGGCTTTTAAATGGCCAAAAGCACACTCAGTCATTCTGCACTTGCTCAGCCTGTTGTTGAACCACTCGTTTCTGCTGTCAACTTGCCCTGTGTATGGCTTCATAAGCCATGGCATTAAGAGGCGGGGTCTCCCAGGATCACAATGGGCATTTCGACTTCCCCTGCAGTGATCTTCTGGTCCGGGAAGAAAGTCCTTGCTTGCAGCTTCCTGACCAAGCCAGTGTTCTGAAAGATGGGTGCATCATGCACCTTTCCAGACCAGCCTGTGTTAATGTCTGTGAAACGCCCACAGTGATCCACAAGTGCCTGGAGAACCATTGAGAAATATCCCTTGCAATTAATGTACTAGGTGGTCTGGTGCCAGAATTGGAATATGCGTGCCATCTGTTGCCACTCCGCAGTTAGGGAAGCTCATTTGTGCAAAGCCATCCACAATGTCACGCACGTTGCCCAGAGTCACGGTCCTTCAGAGAAGGATGCAATTAATGGCCCTGCAGACTTCCATCAACACAAGTCCAACAGTCAACCTTCCCACTCCGAACTGGTTAGCGACTGATCGGTAGCAGTCTGGAGTAGCCAGCTTCCACAGTGCAATTGCCATGTGCTTCTCCAACGGCAGGGCAGCTCTCATTCTTGTCCTTGCACTGCAGGGCTGGGGCGAGCTCATCCAGAGGTAAAAGTAAGCCAGTCCGGTATGCTGTGCTGCACTGGACCGGCTTCCCCAGGCTGGCGATTTAAAGGGCCCAGGGCTCCCTGCAGCGGCTGGAGCCCCGGACCTTTTAAATCGTCTCCTGAGCCCACTGCTGGAGCCCTGGGGTAGTGGCGGCAGGGCTCCGGCAGTGATTTAAAGGGCCAGGGGCTCCCCAGGGGTAGCGGCAGCAGCTAGGAGCCCCTAGGACTCCGGCGATTTAAAGGGCATGGAGCTCCATTGTGGTAGCGGTGGCCAAAGCCCTGGGCCCTTTAAATTGCCCTGGGGCTCCCAGCCGCCTCTGCATCTGGTAGCTCCGGTGGTGATTTAAAGAGCCTGGGGCTCCCCGCCACCGCTACCGCAGCCAGAGCCCCAAGGCCTTTAAATCTTGATTTAAAGGGCCCGGGTATTTAAAGGTCCCGCCTCTTCCGGTTCAGGCCATGCCTCTTCCGGCTGAGGCCACGTCCCCTGCTCAGGACTCCAGCGTACGGGTAAGTCCTTTAACTTACTTTCACCCCTGAGCTCATCACACAGTCCCAGGAATGTGGCTTTCCTCATCTGAAAGTTCTGCAGCCACTGCTCATGATCCCAGACGTGCATCACGATGTGATCCCACCACTCAGTGCTTGTTTCCCGAGCCCAAAACCGGCATTCCACTGTGATCAGCACCTCCGTGAATGCCACAAGCAATCTCATGTCGTAGCTACTATGCAAGGCGAGATCAATGTCGCACTCCTCTTGCCTTTGTAGTTTAAGGAATAACTCCACTGCCGCTCGTGATGTGTTGGTCAGAGCAAGCAGCATACTGGTCAGCAGTTCGGGATCCATTCCTGCAGCCAGAAGAGGCAGGACATGCAGTACACAAACAGTTGAAAGATGGTATCAAATGTGGCCAGAAGCACAGGGATTGTTGGGATGTGAAGCAATGCATCACGGGGCATTGGCACAGGAGCCAGGATGCCCCACGACCCCCTCCACCTTCCTACAAGTCTTAGCGGCAGAAGAGAATGAGGTGCTCTGTGGGATAGCTGCCCACAGTGCACCGCTCCGAATAGCGCCGCAAGTGAGACGCTATTGCGGAGGCAGCTGACAGTGTGAACACACAACAACGGTTTCCCTTCAGCGCTTTCTGAGCTGTGCTGTAACTCACTGCGCTGTAACTCTGCCAGTGTAGACGTACCCTAAGGCAGCGCTTTCATGTGGCTTGTGTAGTCACATCACAGAGCTGGCAGAGAGCTCTCCCAGCACTGTAAACACCCCCCCCCCCCCCGCCACGAGGGGAGTGGCTCCCAGCACTGGTGCACTGTCTACACTGCCACTTTACAGCGCTGAACCTGGCAGCGCTCAGGAGGGTGTTTTCACACCCCTGAGCAAGACAATTGCAGTGCTGTAAAATGGCAGTGTAGACAAGGCCTAAGATTAACGCCTCTCAAGTTCGTCTAGCTTGAGTGGGGAGCCCTCAGACTCCGAAACCCCACCTGAGCGTCACCGTGTGATTGGTTTAACAGCACAGATTGAGCGTTTGTATTGCAGCACATTGGTCTATACCTAAAACTTAGGTCCACCCGGCTACGTTGCTCAGGCTGTGAGAGAAATGTCCTGCCTGTGCCACACAGACACAGAAAGAAAAGGAGGACTTGGGGCACCTCAGAGACTAACACATTTATATGAGCATAAGCTTTCGTGAGCTACAGCCCACTTGTTAGTCTCTAAGGTGCCCCAAGTCCTCCTTTTCTTTTTGCGACTACAGACCAACACGCTGCTGCTCTGAAGCCTGACACAGACATAGGTTGCCCTAACCCCCCCCGGAGACCCAGCAGCGAGGTCAAGGGAAGAATTTTCCTTCGCCCGAGCTCCTGCCCGGCCCCTCCAGGGGGGTGGAGTAACGTATTTACTACAACCCCCGCCCCCCTCCCCGGTGTGGTACACTCCCCTCCCCCTCCCTCCCTGTCTGTACGAGGCGCTGGTACCGTCGGGCCCCCTCTCGCGGTGGTACACGCCGCCCCTCCCTGCGGAGTGGTTTGTCCGGCTTGGGGCCTGCTGGGAGCGGGGGGTGGAGTCTCTCTCTCTCTCTCTCTCAGGCGGGATGGGTGTGGAGGTGCCGGATGGTTGCTACTCGGCCGCCGGGCCGGTCGGCTTGGGAACAGCAGCGGTCTCCTGGTGAGCCGGCCGGGGCAGGGGGCGCGGGGTTCGCGAGCAGAGGCGGGGAACCGGGTCTGTAGTGGGGGGCGGGGCGGGGCGAGGAGGCGGTGATGTGGGTTGCGGGGAATCTGGCTGGGCCTCGCGGCGCCTAGCACCGTGCACGAGCCCCCGCGCCCTGTGCGTCCAGCGCGCGCCCCTCCAGCCGAGACGCCGCGTCCCGTGACCGTGGCTGGCCTGGCGCGAGGCCGGTGGGCTCGGTCCGGTAGGGAAAGGGAGCGGCTCGCGCCCCTCGCAGCCCGGCCGCGCTGTGGCCGCTGGGCCCCTCAGACGGCCGCCCCCGCAGGCCCAAGCGTGTCCCGGGGGAGCTGTTGGGTCGCAGCGGCGTGACTGGCGGGCTGGTGCCGCTGAGCCTGTCTCGTGCGGGGGGAGCCGCCGCCGCCGCCGCTCGTGTGACTGGGGCGCGGGTCCCAGCGGCCATCGTCGGGCGGGTCCGCGTGGATTTTGGTACGTGCTGCCGGCCCAGTGGCTGCTCAGCTCCGCGTGCTTTCCCTGGCTTGAGAGGGGTGCACGTGCAGGTTTGTAACTGACGCAGGCGATGTGAAGAAAGCCACAAGCCAAAAGCCCTTCCTCGCCGCGTTAGGTGTCTCGGTCGTGCGTGCCCGTGCTGCCTGGGGAACAGCAACGAGTAGACTGATAAATCGCACGTGCTCGACCCGGGGTTTGGTGGGGTACTGGGAGATCTGTCCAATTTTGTAGAGGTGAAGGCTACACCTTTTGGAAGACTGGGTTTTCTGCATCCTGATTTTTGCATCCATAGCTCACATTCCTTAAAATGCTCTGGTTTTGGACTGTGTTTTTCACTGCACAATGCACCTTTTAAATCAGCATGGTCAGTCATGGGCACATCACACAGTTTGGAGGAGGGAGAAATCCTTCCGTTTTGTAGAGCAGCCTCCTTCCTAAGGCTAATATGAAATGTGGCTGAGTCTTCTACATATTCACTGGCTGCCAGAAGAGCCCTATGAAGCTAGCAGCATCGAGGACAACATTTACTTATATACAAGACTAGTTTGACTTTAAATTGATCTGTTTGACATTTGTTATATTTTATCTTTTTTTCTCCTGTTTTTCAGATGTAGGCAGACAGTGCCCATTGATGCACTTTGCTTAGTTGACAAATACCGCTTTACGAGAAATTGATATGACGGTTCCTGAATGGTATGATTAGTTTTAATGGAATACCTGACATTTGTATATAATTCAAAAATTTACTTCTAAATTGGTCTTTTGGAGGTGACCATTTGTTTATATGCTGTTAAGCTAGGTTTTTCACTGAGAAATGAAATGATCACTTTACAAATTTAAATATTTGCCTTTGTGTTACCCATTCACTATCTCTCATAGTGAACGTGGTGTCAGAAAAGGCATACAAGAACTCTTGCTGAAATTGTTGTGGGAGATGGTTATGTACCTTTTCTCTTCTCAATTCTGCAAGGACAGAAAAGTTGATGTTTGAGTGGTAGGCATGAGCAGCCTTTAAGGTCAGAAGAGACTGTCATGATCCTTTAGTAGTAGTATGACATCCTGCACATTGTGGGCCACACAACCTCACCCACCCCCACTATATCCTCCCTTCAGTATTGTTTTTCTTATCATTATAATGGACATCAAATTAATCTCTTGGAGCTTGCCAGAATTTTGATAAACAAAAAAATCCAAGAAAGTGGTGATGGGTGGGGTTGGAAAAATACATACATGTTCATTGTACTAACTTGTATTTGTTTCTGTTCAGTGGAGAAAATGAGTCTGAATGAATAGAAGACTACAGTTTCTGTACATACGGCCTTGTATACTATGGTAAGATAGAAATGTGTGTGTGCTTTTGAATTCAGTGTCTACGTTGGTTAAAGTGAAAGGTTCCATTTGTATACGGGTAGTACCTTTAAGTCTTATTCCGTAAACGCTGATTATTTGCTAGCAGATTGTCATGTCTATTTAAAGTTTGGTGAACACTTTTACTCTACGGAACTCTAAATCTGTGATTTTTTTTTTTTTTTTTTTGTAATGCTTAATTGGTTACTTAGCTTCTAAGGTCACGCAGAATGCTCTAGTGTCCAAGGATCATCTAACTTATTTTTACTTATTAAATGTTCATAAGTATCTTCCAAAACTGAAATTAGTTGCAGAATATTGGTGCACAATGTCATAAGCTAATCAAACTTCAGGCAGTTGTCTGGCCTATTGCCCCAAAGCTAAATTGCAGCAGTCAGAAGTGAATCATAATAGCTTTTTCTAGTTTCCGCTGGAAGCGAATTTTTTTAGTTCTCTTGTTCTTATTTGCATTAAACTACTTAAATAACACTACAAATAACAGGCACAAAATTTTTTTAAAAGTACTTTTCTTCCTATAACTTCCAGTATAACATTTTTATATTTCTTGACTAAGGCTAGTTCAACTGGCATACCTTACAACTAAGCATTTTTTAAGAATATATAGCATTCTTGCCTTTGTGTTGCCCATTCATTTTTGTTACTAATGTTTGTGGTGTCAAGAAAGGCATAAAAAAAGTCCTTCTGCAGCATTATTTGATGTTGGGAATTAATCTCTCCCATGATTCTGCTGTATAAGGGACAGTTTTGTGACAGCTTCTATTGTAACTAAATTTAGAATGGTGCTCGGAATTAAAATAGATCCGAAGTCCTGCTTAATGGAGCAGGGAATTTGGTTTAGGAATTAACCTCTGAAGATACTTTGAAAATGCCTTTGCAGAGACTTAACTGTTTCAAAGCTGAAACAAAACCTGAGCTTGTGAAGCTATTTTCTACCACCCTAGAGGATCTTGCAGATTGCTAAAGAATAATTTAAACATATCTCATCTGATATTCAATATTTTTTTTCAGTAAATATTTCTACAGAACCAGCTCAAGTTCGGCAGCATTTCTTCCACCAGAAGAATGTTCTGGAAGAAATATACAGGTAGATGAATTTTAAAAACATGGAATTTGTAAATCTTAAAATCATGGTAACGTATTACAAGTGTGTTCACAAGAAGACTCAAGTAGCTTTTAACTATATGTGGCAGTGGTGAGGGAATGGTCTTGTGTACTAAAAAATAAAGACTATATATTTTTAATTGCTGCATTTGTTGAATTTTTCTAAGTACCACCTTCTCAGTTAACTAAAATCAGTTCTTATACTGAAGAAATAAAATATTGATCCTGATTTACTAGTACATCTACCATGTATTTATTTGGGGTGAGTATCAAGTTAGTCCATTAATACTGAACCAGAATAACTAATAAATGGTGATTGTTATTGCCAAGAGTATAGGGGAAACTTTTTTAACACTTGAAGTGACTGGAAGTACCTTGGTTTTGATCGTGTGAGGAAATATAAATTGTTCAGCTGTTCCATTTGAAAATCTTCACTTTCCAAGTTGCATTGCTTATAAAGCTTAATTGCACTTATACACATTCAAGTGTTACCTGAATGTAGTAGATCAGTGTGTCTTTCACCATCAATCATACGCTGTAATCTATACCTTCACCTATTAAAAGTAGAACCAAATACACAATGCAGAAGTTAGTGGTTGGAATTTCTACCGCTATTCAGGCTGAAAGACTTATGCTTTCATTGTACCATCAAGTGACTTAATTCCCATTTCTAAATACTATGAAATCAAAAATTCCATTCTTGATCAGGCAAATATGTAATGGTTAACTGTGTGTCTTATTTCCAAATTTGCCTCAAGGGAAGACTTAGACAAGTCTAACTTAGTGAAGCAAGATGTAATTATTGGATGCAATGGAAAACTTGGGGATTATATTAGGGATTATATTAATTCTCCAGAGATACCATCTGTTCAGAATTCTCATTCCTGGGTCTTTGATTCTTCGAGCAAGACTATTGATACTCCCCTAGCCCTTAAGGGTTGCTACCTCTGAGGGAAGCAACATTGGAACACAGTGCAGGCCCCCTACTGGCTGTCAGCGGGCCACCTACTGCTGAGTAGAAATGATCTCCAAATATGTCATTTCCTTAACTTTGATAAGCAAAGGAACTCCGCTCAGAGGCTTAGGACTTGTCTATACTACATAGTTTTGTCAGCAGAACAGCGAAAGTGTACAAACTGAAATGCTCCTCCCGCTGATATAACTCTCCTGCTATGCCGACATAATAAAACTACCTCGATGAGCATCATAGAGCTTTTTGCAATGTAGTTAAAACAACGCAGCCTCAGTGGAGATGCCCTAATTGGCCTCCAGGAGGTATCCCACAATGCTCATGACGGCTCTGGTCAGCAGTTTGAACTCTGCAGTCCTGAAGGTACACCGGTATGTACCTTCCCCATCTGCATTCCTCATGGGTTCCTGGTCCTTCTCAGTACCCCGTGCACTCCACCCCTAGGGACTGGTTTCTCAATGAAAGCTGGAGTTACACCCAGCTGTGAGAGCCCTAATTGCGAGACTGACCAAAAGTTTGTTTTATATCTGGTTATTAAACAAGTCTATTTGTGACATACATACATCCTCAGTGCTAACATTGAAACAGAGTGGCTGTAGGTAAGAATACTTGCTTAGTACAATTAATGCTCAGGAAGCAAGCACTACATTCAAAGAATAGAGTTCACAGGTGAGGTCCTCTACTCAGTCCAGGCCAAAGCCTTCTTACCAAAAGCCAGATTCTAGATGCTGAGCTCAATCAGAGAGAGCCTCAGAAAACATTCCACCACCACTGCGAGGACCTGCCTGAAGCTCCTGGGGCACGTGGCATTGTGTACATAAATTGTAAAGCATGTGAGGCTGCAACTCGGGCCGCTTCAGGCCTGGCTTGTGACAGTGTACTAACCAGGCTAGGACTGCCTGGACAGAGTGGTCACACTTCTCCCTTTGGTGATCAGTTCCCTCTTATGGTGGTTGGACTCAGGGGTGGTATATGCTGGTGTTCCATTCAGGAGACCACAGCCATCAATGTCTCTAGTCTCTGGTGCTTCCAAACTGGGCTAGGGAGCTCACCTAGGGCCCCTCAGGACTCAAGGCCCCTGCTCCCAGAAAGAGCTCTTGCTACATATCAGTGTGAGAGAACTCAGAGCAGTGCATCTTGCTTGGCAAATGTTCCAGCCCCACCTGTAAGACAAATGTCTGTCGATGCTTACAGACAACATGACTGATGTTCTATATCACTGGTTCTCAAACTGGGTCAGGACCCCCATTTTAATAGGGTCGCCAGGGCCAGCATTAGTTGCTGGGACTTGGGGCTGAAGCCTGAGCTCCACCCCCACCTGGGTCAATGGAGCTCTGGCTGCAGCCCCTTCTCCCCCCAATTGGGGTGGCAGGGCTTGGCCTGCTGTCCCCTTACCCTCCATCCCAGGTAGCTCCAACCCCAGGAGTCATGTAACTTTGTCAGAAGAGGGGTTGTGGTGCAATGAATTTTGAGAACCCCTGTTCTATATCAACAGACAGGGTGGAGCATGCTCCTTTCACCTATGCCAGGAAGCCTGTGAGAATTCTGCATAACCTACTCAATCCACCTCAAGGCTTCCTACATTCCAGGGGCCCAGAATGGGTTAGTGCCTTATCTCAGCAGGTCCTTTGCCAATCATGAATGGTCCATTCACCCGGATGTTGTGAGGTACATTTTGCAGTGGAACTCCCCAGATAGACCAGTTTGCAACAAAACACAACAGGAAGTGTCTACAGTTCTGCTCCTTTCATGATCACAGTCTGGGCTCACAGGCAGATGCGTTCCTTCTGCCCTGGAAGGACCATATGCATTCCCATCTATTCTGCTTATACACAAGGTCCTGCTGAAGTTCAAGGGGTAGGGATTGAGTCTGATCCTGATAGCACCAGCCTGTCTACCAACATTGGTCCACCACCCTCCTGGAGCTCTCAATCAGAAAACCAATCACCCTACCGCTACTTCCAGACCAGATCTCCCAGGAACACGGATGTCGCCTTCATACAAACCTTGAGTCCCTCCATTTGATGCCCTAGAAGCTCCATGACTGAACCCTTCGGAATTAGTGTGCTCAGGCCTGGTTCAGGAGGTTCTGTTCGGGAGGAGAAAGCCATCCACCAGGGTCACGTACCTGGTAAAATGGAAAAGGTTTTCAATCTGGGCAGGGCAGAAGGGGATCTTACCCACTCGAACATCGATACCGTGTATCCTGGACTATTTGTTACATCTAAAACTGCAAGGGCTGTCGGTGTCTTGGATTAGGGTGCACCTGGCAGCTAGTTCAGCATTCCATCCGGGTGTGAGCGGTAAGTCCATCTTCGTTAACGCGCATTGTAGCTGTTTTCTGAAAGTACTGGACAGGCTCTACCTGCAGGTGAGCTAGTTAATCCCACCTTGGGACCTTAACTTGGTTCTCTCAAGTCTCTCAGGGGCACCGTTTGAATCCTTGGTGACATGCTCTTTGCTTTGCTTGTCATGGAAAGTGGCCTTCCTTGTAGCCATTACCTCAGCCAGGAGGGTCTCAGAAATCAGGGCCCTTACTTCAGAACCACCCTACACGGTCTTCTTCAAGGACAAGGAGCAGCTGCGCCCCACCCAGCTTTCCTCCCAACGGTGGTGTCTGAGTTCCACAAACAACCATGACATTTTTCTTCTCGTCTTGTTCCCAAAGCCACATGCCAAAAGCCAGGAGCAGAGGCTCCACTCGCTAGATGTCAGGCGGGTGCTGGCCTTCTTCATAGATAGGACCAGTTCTTTTAGGAAGATTTCTCAGCTCTTTGTGGCAGACAGGATAAAGGGCTTCCCAGTCTTGGCCCAAAGAATTTCTTCATGGATTACTTCTTGTATTTACACATGCTATGATCTGGCGAAAGTCCCTGCTCTGGCACTGAGAGCACATGTCACGAGGGCCTTCTGCGGCATTCGGCGCACAGGTTTCCGTCAATGATATCTGTAGAGCGGCAAGATGGTCTTTAGTCCACACCTTCACAACCCCCTACGCCATCACACAGCTGGCTAGAGATGATGCTGTTTTGGCAGAGCTATGCTCCCACTTGCCACTGAAATCTGAACCCACCTCCATCATCTGCTTGAGAGTCACCTACACAGGAATGGACATCAGCAAGCAATCAAAGAAGAAAAAGCGGTTAGTAACCTTTCTGTAACTCTTGTTCTTCGAGATGTGTTGCTCATGTCCATTCCAAAACCTGCCTTCCTACCCCTTTGTTGGAGTTACCGGCAAGAAGGAACTGAGGGTGTGGTGGGTTGGCAGGCTCCTATATAAAGCACCATGAGGGCGTGACTCCAGGGGGTCCTGGAGCCAACTCGATGGATATCACTTTGGGAAAAACCTTCTGGCGACTGTGCACGTAGCACACATACACCTACCCAGGAATGGACATGAACAACATATCTCTAACAACAGTAGTTACAGAAAGGTTTTTTTCTGGTGTCCTTGTGCCACAGAATTGAGGTGAGCTCTGCACACAGTTCCAAGATGGTGTATTTGCGCATCCGAAAGTTTTTCAGCCACTGCTCGTCATCCCATACATGCATCGCGATGTGATCCCACCATTCAGTGCTTGTTTCCTGAGCCCAGGACCGATGGTCCACCATGACAAACTATTTCGTGAATGCCAGCAGCAATCTTGAATAATTTGCTTCCATGGCAGACAGCAGGGCAGGCATTACAGATTCACTCTGTTTCGCATCTCCTGAAATACTGCAGGACCAGCTGCATTGTGTTCATAATGCTCGTCACCAGATTAGTCAGTAGCTCAGGGTCCATGCTGTTAGGCAGAGAGGGTGGGCACACAGTTTACAAGGGCTGTTGAAGAAAAACGGCATGAAATAAAGTAGGAAGCTCATGGAACGATGGGATGGAAAGACCTGCATCTCTGGAGGACGAGCACGTCCCCATGATGCACTGTGAACTCTTCCTAGCAGCAGAGGGTGATAAATTGCACAGTGGGATAGCTACCTAAAATGCAACACTGTCAATGCAAGAGCAACGACTGTGGACGCACTCAGCCGACACAAGGAGCATTGATGTTGTTGATTGATGTTATTAAAGCTACTTATGATCATTGACATAACTTAAGTCAACTTAACTCTGTAATGTAGACATGGACTTAGCTTCATTGGCTATTGAACCAGCTCTTCATTAGGTTCTAAAGGTGGCCTTTCATTAATGTAACTTTTCTTTATGGTAGTTATCCACATTAGTAAAGCCTCTACTTTTGTGCTGCTATTTTGCAATCCTTACCTGGCTTCAAATGTAGGCACTTCTCTTAGTATATTAGCAATGTTCTCTGTGCCTTGATTCTCCCTTGCTGATATTCTGCTGCCAGCTTTGTTCTCACTCTAGCTAAGACACTCTCACAGGTAGTTTTATAGATCAGAAATTATCCATTGGGGACATCAGAATGTATTTCTTCTCCATCCACCTGAATAAGAATTTATCATTCTGCTCATTCTCAGAAAAACAGTGTTAGCAAGGAATGATTTTTTCATCCAGTGGAGGGAAAATTAGATACACCTTTACAACCACTCCCTCAGGTTTCAACTTTTTCCGTCAGTGTGAGAAGGTGCCTTGTATCATTCCTCTGCCCCCCAAGCAGATCATGTTGCTTTGTCATAACCCTATCTTAGCTCCTAAGAAGGTAGAAAGCTGTAGATGTTGCCTCTGATGTTCCACACAGCCTGCTCAAAGATGCCATCTACCAGATATGCAAATCTGCGCCTTTGTGGCCTAGTGCATTTGGGCCCAAATGAGTCTCTTAACTGCCCTCTGTAGATTGTTTGTTTGACCACGTTCTTTTTCCCAGACTTGAAGAAGAGCTCGGTGTAAGCTTCTGTTTCATCAGTAGAAATTGGTCTAATAAAAGATAAACCACCGACCTTCACCTGTCAGTCTAAAAGAGACTAATTCTGTCAGGTAAACTTGGTAACTAATTTGACCTATCAGAAACTAGCTGAAGTTAGACCAGTGTTTCTGCAGCCTCTTGTCACTGGATTGTTACAAGGGTTAAAACTTCTGAAAACTCAGGAAAGGGGGGAAAGCCGTTTTCTTGTTTGGGACACTAATGTGTTTCTTGTTCAAAAGGAGCTATCCGCTTTGTTGATCTATTTTTGTGAGCTTAAGTATTTCAACATTTAAGGTAACTTTCCTGGGGACTTCAACTCAGAATGAGCTTCAGGCCCCTATTGACTGACCCAACCTTACAGTAGACTTTACAAGAAAAAAGTGATGCTGTGGATTAATTGGGAATGCCTCTCTAATATGGTGTTGATACGCTCAACTTTGTGAGTCTCTGAGCCTGCCAGCATTCTTCTCATGTCCATTCCTTATGTATGACATCAAAAGGCACTTCTCTTTCAGGCAGACTGAAAGCCTTTAAAATGTGTTTAAAATGGTCACTCCATTTCGTGTCTTTTCCTACTAGCAAGCTTGACAATGCTATTACTAGAGAGCCTTGCCTAAATGCATGTCCAAGAGTGTTCCTTTTCTTTTTTGATTTGGGTGGCCTGACCTTGGAAGCAATGTCAGGATGTGTTACCAAGTCCTCACGAGTGGATCAGGATGACCTGCTCACAACAAACATGGTAAGAAAAAAGATATATGGAGTAGTTATTTATGTGGCCTTTTCTCTTCTTGATCTGGGAGCTATATAACAAGACTGAAGTTCCCTTTTGTGGTAGTATGTACTGTTTCTTTCATCCATTGCTCACTCTAGTACCAGTTCCCTGAGTACTTAGTGAACTTTTGTCCTTGAAGTCATCTTCACTGTAGTAAATAAGCTTTTTCAAGTCTATACTTCTATGTCCCCACAGATTTTATCTTTGCAGGATCTTTCAAGTAACATTTCTTACACTGGTACGGTTCACAGTACACCTTTCTCTGCTGTTGCCTTTCCTCTCACTGAGGAAACATGCTTTTGCAAACCATGCAGGAGTGGGAGAAGGCTGGGACCCTAAAAAATACAAGCTCTTCCTACTCAGTAAGAGAAGCAGCACCTGCAAGATAAGTGCAGCTAATAGGATACTAATAGGGCTCCACTCTATCAGTGAGTAAACCAGCTGGACTACCCCCTAGCCTGAAATAGTCAAACTTTCTAAAGCCTGTTGTCTGGTAAGCCTGACTTCTGAAAGGGCATGGCCTTTTCCTTCTACTTGATCTGTCAGTTTACTCTTACAGGCTCCCTAGGATCTGACATTAACTTTTAAAAACTTGGGCAGTGGAGGAGAAATGGTCTTCAGCAGCCATCTGAAAAATCCTGAGTGGACAAAAGTGTATTTTAATGTCTAGGGCAAGAATTCCTAACCTGGATGTTGCAGCCATATATATGGCTGGAAGTCACAACTACCTTGCCCTTCCCCCATTGTTTGATGGACGAGGGAGCCTGGTATCGAAAAGGCTGAGAACCCCAGGAGAAGGAGAGGGCTCAGTAAAACAACACTGTCTCACCACCTTTGTTCTTCTAGTTCTCATTTGGATTCATAGTCTTAATACCAACAAACCACATACAATATTTTTTCAAGCCAGTGTAACTTGATTGAAGGTAGACTTAATAATGTAGTAATAGTAGTAATGTAATTAATAAATGAAAACAGTCAGTATAGATTAGTGGATGACATTTTCTTTCTTACAGCAAATTATTGTTCTTTGTACTGTCCAGAGTCTCATGACCTGCAGAGAGCTTGCTCAGTGATCTTACCATGTATACCAGTATGTGTTGTGACAAGTATTCTCTCATTCAGCCTATTCTGCTTATCAGCCAAACGGGAGTAAATACATTCTGATACCTGAAGACATCTCACCATTCATTTGGATGGCACCTTGCCAAAGCCACTATTGTAAGGGAAATAAAAGAATATTTTTTGTATTTAGCTGTACTTAAAATCATCATTCAGATTGTTACATTGTCAGGACTCAGGTGTAAAACCCATTCAGCAAAGTCACTAATTGCTTGTAATGGTGATAATTTCTCTAGTGCCTATTCACTGTTCTTCAAGTTGTGGAAAATCTCTTCCTTTTAATTCTCATGGGGAAGGCAATTGCCTAATCTGTTCTAAGTGGGTTATACCTCCCCACCATAGCAGGTAAGGTTACTACACAAGAAATACAGGAGGAAAAAGGAGAACATGCCTGTTGTGTTCAATTACAGCTAGGCTTAAGGAGCATTGGTTTTTTGGCCTGCCTCATTAGGAGCAGTTTGAAGTTATTTTACGCTGGTTTAATTTTCTGATACTGCCCCGTGGCGTCCCAAACTCTTGTGGTGATTCTCTAGTGATGACTCGAGCTTCTCTGATAATCCTGAACATTTAAGTATAGAGGTTTCTTTCATCCATTGCTCACTCTAGTACCAGTTCCCTGAGTACTTAGTGAACTTTTGTCCTTGAAGTCATCTTCACTGTAGTAAATAAGCTTTTTCAAGTCTATACTTCTATATCCCCACAGATTTTATCTTTGCAGGATCTTTCAAGTAACATTTCTTACACTGGTACGGTTCACAGTACACCTTTCTCTGCTGTTGCCTTTCCTCTCACTGAGGAAATCTCCTTCCTTAGAGGTTTTTAAGGTCAGGCTTGACAAAGCCCTGGCTGGGATGATTTAACTGGGAATTGGTCCTGCTTTGAGCAGGGGGTTGGACTAGATGACCTTCTGGGGTCCCTTCCAACCCTGATATTCTATGATTCTAGGTGAAGGCCTGTGTTTTTCATTAAGGTCAAGCCCACAGTTAACAGGCAAGTAATTTACATTCAGAAATTCAATCTATGTAAATTACTCAAATAGCCTGACGACCAGTCCTGACTAGCCCAAACATACTTAACATAGCTATTGGATGGATTATAGTATTGTTTGGCTGGTTACGTATATGTAGAATTGAAAAATCACACTATTGCATGTTAATCAGAGGAGAAGGGTACCACACAGTAATCTATCAGATCACATTATATTTCTTCAAATTCTCACAAGAACTGAAGCCCATGGAAATGTTTGTGTGGAAGGGTGGTGATTTCCTTTCACTGTATTAGCTATCAAGGAAACGGATGTAGGAAGGAATTAGGGGCCAGAGTCTTAAGGAGATATGTCCTTGATTTACCAAAGAAAGCCAAGCAGCTTGATTTATGAAAAATCACATATATTTTAGACCATTCTTTCTGCATTGGGAAGATAGTTCGATGCTGTTTAAGCAATGGAAACTTCATTCTAAGAGTGTAAAAACATTTACTGGCACCACTTTCAGCTACTATGGAATACATTTTCTCTGGTGAAGTTATATCCCCAAGTTGATTTTTAGTTGGCATTACACAGATGTTACCATCAAAATTAGTCAGTGATTTTCTTCTCATGTAGTGCAAATAATATACGCAACATGCAAGCACAAAATTTACCATAAAAGTTAACAGGTTTACTTGATTTTAAATAACCTGGACATAAGTTTTGACACTGCCACCTATCAACTCAATTTAAAATAAAGCACACAGCTGTTTCATGGATAATTTTTAACTTTGTATACATACAGTATATACTTCACAGTTTGATCTGAGATCTTGCATGTATTTTAAAACAGCCATCTTTATCATTAGCTTTATAGTAAAAGTTGTCCTGAAATCATGAAGGAATTAAAATTCACTCCATCTTGATTTGCATCTGAGTTCAACTGTACAGAGATGGTTGGCTTGTTTGGATATTGAACAGAAAAAATGATGTAATGTTTTTGGGGCCAAGAGCCCAACAATACAAAGAGATTAGCCTAAATAAGAGTTGCAGATTAAGAATCTGAATAAGAGCTACATGGATATACAGAGTGGCATACTAACTGTAATTTCCTCTTTATCCAAAAGGAAGAAGACTGCCAGCACATAAAGTTAGCTAGGTTTTAAAGGATTATTTAAAACAAGCTATGACTAAGATGGCAGCTAATGAGAAGTAAACATGGTACACATTAAAACCTGTTAGGTACATTAGAAGTACAGTTGAAACAATCTTCAGTCAAAAATGAGGTACATAATAATATGCACACCTTATAAATGAGACTACAACTACCAAGAAGCATAAATGAAAAAATAGCAGAGGCAGACAGCCTAGCATTTCTGACACGTAGTAGAATAAATGAAATACCACAATTTCTTGCTGTGAGTGCTTAGAAACTATACAAAACCCATAAATTACACTAGACAAGAAAGAGAGAGTAGGTCAAATGTGTGGGAATAGCTTTGTACACACAGAATTCCATAGACTGTGAAGAGTGCCAGGATGTGAAATGTGTGCAGATACAAAATTCAGGTCATAAAAGTACAAGTACTGTATAGTAATAGGGATGTTTTACCAGACTATATCTCAGTAAAGAAGTCAGAATGTTGAGAAACGTCAGGGAAGTAACAAAATACCAGTAATAATGGGCAATGAATAAACATCACTGCAAACACGTTGTGGAGAATTGCTCCTTGGAACAGCTTATTCTTGAACAAACAAGAGGCGAGGTGTACCTTGATTTACAGTACATTCCTGAATTAATTCCTGTGTGTTACTCAGGATTAAGTAGGGTTAGTCATAACATAATTTTGATATCCTTGGAGCATTCTAAGAGGTGGTACTATGACACAAAACTTCAAGAAGGGGGATTTTTTTATAATGTAGTTATTTGATTCATCAGAAAAGTAGTATGCTGACAGTGGTATTGGGTCCTGTAGGCCATCAGAATGTAAAACAGAACAATGACTGTCTCCATCTGTATTGCCAAAGAAGCAGATTGCAACAGTGAGAGATCTTGTTAAACAGCCTTTAAAAACAGCTGGACCAAATAAAAACAGTTGGACCAGGCAGTGTAAACAAAGCTGAGCCACGTTTAAAAACTTTTTAGCCCAATTCTATGTGACTGCCAGTCTAAATGAGGTTCAAAAAGCATAAGGAAACTGCAGGGGAACTAAATCGTGCTTTTATATTAGTCTTCACTACAAAGGAAGAGAGAATATTTAGAGCCCTGTGAATTATTATTTTTATAACTTTGCAGGGTTTTGGGGGAATTTCATTTTACTGTGGGAAGCCTGGGGGGGGGGGGGGAAGAGAGATTGCAGAGTGAGCCCGCCCTGCATGCAGCCGGCGGCTCCTTTCCTCTGGGGTGGGCCAAGCTCTGCTCTGGGCATTGTGCCCTGGCACTTAAGGTCACATCACCACTTAGGTTTGGCCTGGCTGCCCCTCTGATAGTGGGGGGCAAGAGGGCAGCAACTGAGCCAAATGGCAGAGAGTCAAACCACAGGTCACAACGCCCAGAGTGGGAGGGCTGGGTCCAGTCCCACAGGACAGTTAAAACCGCTGCGGGATTTTCCATTTTTATTTTACAGGCTGTTTTTTGTTTAATTTTTTTGTTATTTTGCACTTGCAAAAAAATACTGGGGACTGGTAATATTTATCCCGGGATTACTGTTCACAGGGAGTGAAGGTGAAGCAATGTCAAATATAGAAATACTGGGGAAAAATTAGTAGCAGATTTGATTGAAATTCTATGGGAGTAGTGATTGTGTGATGGTATAGTACTTACCACAGAGTGAATCTGATCCTCATTAGGATTGACACAGTACAAACAATATTGCACTGGATGGCATTAATCATTCTAAAGGAACTAAGAATTAAGAATCTACAAATATTAAATCTGGTCAGAAAAGAGGATCTTCTCTTCCCTTCCCCCCTGGCCCCTGAAAGTTTCCATTTTTGGCCAAAATATTTTGCTAAAAGATTATAACATTTCTAATTCAAACTGATGCCACAATGCATTGCACCAGGAATTGTAGTTTAGGGGCCTTGTACTCCCATTGTCCTCTGTGGCAGGCTTTCTGGCTGGACTATATTTCCCATGATGCACCACTCACTCTCCTTTTGGTGAATGGAGAGGACATACTATGGGAGTCTTTGTACCTCAGGTTTCAGAGTAGCAGCCATGTTAGTCTGTATTCGCAAAAAGAAAAGGAGTACTTGTGGCACCTGGTTAGTCTCTAAGGTGCCACAAGTACTCCTTTTCTTTTTGTACCTCAAAAACTCATCTCTTTCACCAACAGAAGTTAGTCCAATAAAAGATATTACCTCATCCGCCTTGTCTCTTGACAGATTAAAGTTAGTCTTTCCCAAGCCTTCTTATGAAGTCCCTCTCAAGAGGCGCTTGAGGAAATTTGGTAAGTGCAGGATAAGAGGTAAAGGCCTGTTATAGATTAAAAACTGATTTAAACAATAGCATAGAAAGGTAGGGCTAAATAGCCACTTATCAGTATGGAAGAGTAGACTGTCTGAGCAAACTGTAGAAGAACAAGTAGTGTACAATGTGGTTAGTCAACCTCTGCCAGACTGTTGTTAGTGGGGTGGCAAATATATACTCAGTGCAAAATTACTTACAGGCCTGGGCAGGATTTTGCTTGACTCCATAACAGCCTAGCTGACACAGGAAACTGGTTAGCACAATAGTAGATGAAATTCAATGTAGACAAGTGCAAGGTAAAGCACATTCAAAGAATCAATGATGGATTCTAAATTAGACGTAACCTGCTAGCAGAAGATCCAGGCATCAGTGAGAACAGCTCATTGAAGATAATATGCTTAATGTGCAACAGCAGTCAAAAAAAGCAAGATGTTACACTGTTTTACAAAGGGAATATAGAGTAAAAGATGCCACTAGATAATTCAGTGATATTGTCTTCACTTTGCATATTGCATTCAGTTTTGGTCATCTCATCTCAGAAATGAGTGAGCAGAAGAAACGGTCCAGAGAAGGGCACTGCAAATGATTCAAATTATTGGGGGATTTCATACGAGAAGAGCTTAAAAAGACTAGGTCAATGAAACCTGCGCCAAAGAACCAACTCTGTTAGCCAACCCCATCTTAGGTAGCCACTTTGAAGTGTTTCCAAGATTTATAGTACAATTTTGTCCAGCCAGCATTTATAGTCTGTGTGTACTAGGCAATCTTATTACACTGGCCTTTGGGCCATTCAAGACATTTTTCACTGTAGTTTTCAAGGGCCAAAATTAAGAGGATATGTGGTAGGGGTATATAAAATAGTCAATAGTACAGAGAAGGCTAATCAAGTACTGTCTCAATACAAGAGGATATTTAAAATTAAAAGGCAACACATTTAAAATTGGTGAAAGGAAATCCATTTTTACATGACACTCAGTGCCACAAGATAAGATTGTGGCAATTATCTAAACATGGATTCAACATTTATATGAACAAGAACAGTGTCTGCAGTTGCATTAGGCTAAAATAAACATAAGAGCTATTATGTTTCAGGGTATAAAGCTGATCATCAGATGGAGTCAGGAAGAGATTTCCTCACTATTATATAGTATTGCACAATTGGCCAAGAATATTATGAAGGCTTTACTGCTTCCTCTAAAGCATCTGGTCTTGGCCTCTTGGAGACAGGCAACTGAATTAATTAGACCAAGGTCTGATCTGTCATGACAATTCCTCTGTTCCTCTTTTGAAAATATAGTATCTGGCAATTGTTGAATTGTATTAACACTTTTCCTTCCAACTGTCTAACCAGTCAACTTCTTTGCAATCAAGTAAGCAACTGTAATTGGAACCAGTGATGAAAACAGTGATCGCCCTTCAGGGCAAGCAGGTTGGAGTTTTTAATTTAAGAAAATTACCACCACTCCAGTTTACATTTTTCTTCTTTCCTTATGACAAAGAAATATTTTACAGCTAAAGAGTATCTGAACTGTTGTGTAATTCCCAGTTTCAAAGGAACAGAATCCATTCACCGTCCTCAGTTATGGCAATCAAGTCTCTATCTTGAGGCGTGATGCATATACAGTTTTTATTGTCTTTGCAGTGTGTTTTCCATCCAGGCTGTTAGTGGATATCTGAGATTTTTCTTCTATCAGGCTATCTTTGGACCCATTTCGCCTCTGAAGAGAACAAAGACAAATTAAAAATACACTGTTGAAAATATAATGAAAAATTAAAATATTACTTCCTTCATCTCTTCCTTTGCTACAGGCTTAGCCTCAATCCTGCACTGGGATCTGCTACTCTAGAGCCCCTCAGAGTCGTGTTGGAGTCAATGGAATTCCTCAAGAGCACAAGGACCAAGCACTGGATCCTTATGCAGGACTGGGGCTTAAATATTAAAAATAGAACTGGTTGAATTATTTAGTGTTCCTTTCAAAAATGCTATGATGTTTCTTTGTACAGTGACTCCAAGAAAACAGTGAATTGTTACAATTGTGGCAATAATCAGATATAAATGATCCATCAACATTTAGCAGAATGGGATGGATATTTGCTTACTTCAAAGGCAGGTGAAATGTAGGCTTAAGGATGTGACAACTCTGATTCACTTACTTATACCAGCATTGTAGGACAATATTTGCATTTGATCACACACCAAAACTACTTTCCTTTTCTCTCCTTTGGCCCAGGCCAGGGTACTTCTGCCGCCCCTCCCTGTTGCAGACACCCATTACATGCTTGTTCCTGCTTGCCTGATCCCTTCCCTCACCCCTATCTGTTGTCCCTTGCAGTTGTTTGGATTCATAGTCTATATTCAGCAAATACCAAGACTAAGTTATTTGCTATTTGGCCAATTATTAAAAACATGCATACGTTAGGCATAAATGACCTGGCAGTGCTTGTTTAACTGATGTGGGACACCGCAGTGCTGCTAACTCCTTCCAGGACAACAGATTCAAACCAAACACTCTTAGATCAGAGTGTAAACAAGTCAACATACTAAATTCCTGAGTATGCAAAAAATAAATCTGAAATTCTCATTATTCCTTAAGGACTCAATCCTGCAAGGTTAATATTTACCCTATGTGAAGAATTCATACTTATTGTTGAACTGTTCTTAATTCTTATTAAGAAAAATCAATCTTTTTAAACATTGTTTAGCCAGATGAGATGTTAAAAAAAAAAACAACCCACTGTGACGCTGGCAGGCCAGGTGCCAGCTCATGCCAAGGTCCCCATGTCTCAACAGACACATAGCTGGAATCTGTTTGGCATTTAGTGTGTGAAGCTGTGAATGCTTGTAAATTGCTGCATGCATTAATCTCACTTGTAATATCTGTATTCCATATTATAATGCAGTGGATGTACTGTGAGCCTCGGTGATCATATGAATCGCCATACAGGAAAGAGACATTAATTAGTGTGAAGCATAGGTGCCAACTTCTCCTGGCGCCAGTGGGTGCTCATGCCCCACCCCCCAACTCCACCCCTGCCCTGCCCCCTCCTGCCCCGCCCCCATTCCAATCCCTTCCCAAAAGTCCCCACCCCAAGTCTGCCCCTTCCCTGCCCCTACTGGACTCCTTCCCCAAATCCCTTCCCCGGCCCCGCCTCTTCTTTGCCTCCTCCCCTGAGTGCGCCGCGTTCCCGCCCCTCTCCCTTCCCTCCCACAGCTTGTTACGCCATGAAACAGCTGTTTTGTGGCGGCAAGCGCTGGGAGGAGAAGCGGGGACACGGCATGCTCAGGGGAGGAGGCAGAGGCGAGCTGGGGAGGGGGGCGGGGTGGAGAGCTTGCCTGCTGGTGGGTGCAGAGCAGCCACCAATTTTTCCCCATGGATGCTCCAGCCCCGGAGCACCCACGGAGTCGGCACCTATGGTGTGAAGAGCTGCTCTTCTCATTTAGCATGACTTTCAGAATCTAGGGGAAAGTCTGAGTATTGCATTTCAAAGTGCTCTGACTTAGCTTCCTACATAACTGAGTCCATCCATGTGAAGATAGATATTTTTAGCAAGAAAAATAAACTAAGTTCTAAAAAGTTAAAAGTCAAAAACAGTGTTACTGTTCACTGAACATGCTGGGTCAGGGATGCCTTCCTCACCTCCAGCAACAGCAACAAAAGCACCATAAGCCACACAAAACTGAAACAATGTCAGATAAGAAATGGTTTGCCAGGGAAGCAAAAGGTTTAGAAATCCACTAAATAATCAAGCTGACTACACCTGCATGAGTGTACCCCATTTTCCAAAATATGCTATCAGGGTAGCAAAGCTTTTCCTTGGTTCCTAGAAATCCTGTAGCATTGCTGAAAAAAAACTCCCAACAAACTGATGTTGGTACAGACAGTGACTGTTAGTGGGAATCACAGAGGAAGTGGCTCCTACCTTTCTAAGGACCAGGAATGTAGGTAGAAACCCACCTGATATTTTTCCCTTGTCCACTTTAATTAATTATGTACTTTGATATTCCTTTAACATTAGATGTTTATAAATAAAAATCTTGATGCTTTTTTGGACATCAGTTGCCACTTCTGAAAGGAAACACTGGGATAACATGACATAAAAGAACCTTCCACTTCTTCAGCAAGATCTCAAAATGCTTTACCAAAAAAAAATCATGAAATAAACCTCAAAACATCCAGTAAAAAAGGTAATTAGCCCCATTTTAGATGGGGAAACTGAGGCTAAAAGTCATGCTCCATGTCACATAAGTCTTTGGCAGAGAAAAGAGACCACAACTGGTTTTACTCTGGCATTTTAACCATTCGGCCACACTTCCTCTCATAGTGATCACACTTGTCAGAGTAACACTGATACAACCAACACCATCAAAGCAAACCATACTTTGCAGTGAGGCACCTAGTGAAATGACTTATAGAAGTACCAGCATTTTGAAATTGAAATCAAGAGGAAAAACAACGCTGATCTGGTAGGATAGACTGTGCCTCAGTCTCACCTGTTACCATATAAACAGTGTCATATTTGAGGTCCTGAGGGTGCCCTCATCACAGAACTGGGTTGGGGCACATTGTCAGGGAAGCTTTAGTACTTTTGCGTGCAGCTTAGGAGAGGACCATAATCATCACTGCCCTGAGTCTGCCAATTCACTTTCACATGAGGGAAAACAGAAAGAAAGAAAAGCCTACAAGTTCTTCCTGTGGTAAGAGTTTGTTCTGGACATTCAGGAACTTAAAATGATTTTAACCTTTTAGAGTGTATTTTAGATGTTTACATCACAACCACCACACACAGACCTTCCTCTGCAAGCAACTCCTGTCTCCATATATGGAGAGTTTTGGCTCACAGGAAGAGCTGACTGGCAAATAAAAGGTGCTGCAATTCTTCATCCTGGGAAGAGGGCAACTAGTGACGTGAGGATGTGCCATCTTCTCAGGTATAAGAGAGAGGGAAAACAATAGGAGCTAAGACTACTTACTGGCTAGAAGGGAGAGAGGTGTAGCACAGTCAAAATGGCCACCTTAAGACTGCAACTGTTAATCTCTGCCAGATTTAAAGGGCTAGCTATCAGAAAGAGTGTGCTGGGAAAGGTTCCTTTTGAGCTATGATATCCCATGTAAAATCCTCATGGAGAGAAGGCACTGTAGTTTTTACCTTGCTGTAGCTTAGCTAGTCAAGGTCAACCTCAGATGGGTGGAATATAGGGTTTACCTTGACTAGCTACAGAGAGGTAAGAACTACAGTGTCTTCTCTCCATGAGGATTTTACATTGAGTTACCTACCTCAACGTGAGAAACACACCATCTTTTGTAGCCTACAAAGGTGAACCCATACTAGTGAGTTCAGTGGAAATCACAGGGGAAGAAGTTCTAACTTTCTAAGGACTAGCAATCTAGATAGAATCCCGTGTGATATTTTCCCTTATGTGCTTGAATTAAATATGACCTTTGGTTTTCTTTTAGCCTTATGTTTTTACAATAAAATTCTAGATTTTTTTAGGACATCACCTGCTTCTTGTGCCTAAAGTTTACTGCCACCGTATCACAGCTGATATCTGTGCAGTCTCATTTTATGACAACCTGTCTTTTTAACTACTACCACGTAGGCTTTTCCCTTCTGAGTCCACCGGACCTCTCAAATGCCTATCAGCTGAAAGAGGATAGCTCTCCTCTCAGTGGTTAGAAAATCAGAGTTACAAACCTTGGACAGTAGCAAGGCACTGTGGAGTGGAGAGAAAATGTTAGTTCAAAAGTTGATTATCTCAGTGGGTGCCTGGGCACATTTGCTTATTTATAGGAATTGCCCTAGTTGATCCACCTTGTATTGAGGGAGCAACAGGCTCCAAAAAGAGGAAATGTCTTCCAAATAACAGAAAGCAGGTAACTGCAGTATGGTGCATTATGAAATTCAATGTATCTACATTATAAAAATGAAGTTTATCTTTAAGCAGTTACTTCTACATAATGTAAAGGCTTCCTGCGAAGTCTGTTTGCTCTACTACAAGTTGAATGCAAAAGATCAAATGTTAGATGTATTTTCTCCATTAAATATTACTCATAGATAATTCCACCAGGAGAACACTCTAAGCTTGTAGACTTTAAGATCAAAAGGGACCATCATGATCATCTAATCTGACCTCCTACATCTTGCAGGTCACAGACCCTAACCCACCCACTCCTGTAATAGACCCATAACTTCTGGCTGCGTTACTGAAGCTCTCAAATCATGGTTTAAATACTTCAAGTTACAGAGAATTCACCATTTACACTAGTTTAAAGCTGCAAGTGATTCATGCCCCATGCTACAGAGGAAGGCAAAAAAAACCCCCCAAACCCAGGGTCTCTGCCAGTCTGACCTGGGGGGAAATTCCTTCTCAACCCCAAATATGGCAATCAGTTAGACCCTGAGCATGTAGGCAGGACCCACTAGGCCAGACATTTGGTAAAGAAGCTGCACAATTACCAACCTGTTGTGAAGCTGGAATGCTGGGACCCTGAGCATCTGAGGAACGAGTCACAGGCAATGGAGGCACAAGGTCTGTTTTTGCACTACAAAAAAAAAAATTGAGATTATATTAGTTTGATGACTATTGTGAAAGAAAAAAGAATGCACTGAACAAGCCTGCAGTTTAAAAACCCACTTGCATTTTCCCCCATAGGGTAATAACAAAGCTGGTCCTTATGATAACATTTTCATATTAAGACAATAAAAAATTACAGATCAAAAGAAAAAAAACGTTGATTTTTCTCCTGTATTTTTTAAACATTAAGGGCAAATTCTGTGGTCTGCTAAAGGGCCATAGAAAGTCTCATTACCAGGGAAACTGGCATGCTGCCACACTACATGCAGGTCCTCACCAGAGAAAGGCCCCACAAGCAGACTCCCTTTGCACAGTTCTGGGCTGTGCTCTGTAGTGGCTCTGCATGACTGGGAGGTGGGGGGATGTGTACAGTTAGTAGATCTGTGGCTACACAGATGTGCTTGCCAAGACCCCTGCTGAAGCAGGGGCATTACTGAGGCCTTGCACAGTGGTTAGGATTTGGCTTAGAGTGCTTTGTCTTTTTGGTGATAGCTACCCATATTCGTGCAAAATGTCACAGGAACACCAGATCTGCCAGCAGCAAAAGGGTAAATATATTTTCCCATGATTTTTTCTGATTTGAGAAATTAACTCAGTTTTTCTGTGCGGGCCTATTCATTCACAGTGACATAAAGACAGAACAAAGTCCATTTAGGTGACCACAAAACTTCAGTCTGGGATTGGAATGTGATGGAGTTTAGTTAATAAAGTCTCTACTACTATAAAATACGTAAGAAATCTGTCTACTGAAGTAACACAAAGGAACAAGTATAACTAAGCAAATTGTTGTTTGCAGTGTTGTTGATCCCACGATATGAGAGACCCAGGCGGATGAGGTAATATCTTTTATTGGACCAACTCCTGTTGGTGGAAAAAACAAGCTTTTGAGCCTCATAGAGCTGACCTGAAGAAGAGCTCTGTGTATCTCAAAAGCTTGTCTCTTCCACCAAGTTAGTCCAATAAAAGGTATTACCTCACCCAGCTTGTCTAACTAGGTTGCATTTACTTGAAATGCAGTTGGGAAAATCTTGCTTTTTAAGTCTCCAAGTGTATCTTGAAAATGTTTTGGGGAGGCGGGGGGCAGGGGAAGAAGAGGGAGGGAATTGCAGAACAGCCCTCTTACAGGCAGAATCGCTCCCAGCAGGTGTGGGTGCGGGTGATCAGGGCAGCTCTGCACCACTTCTAGTATTGGCATGGCCTATAAGGCACAATTGAGCTCCAAACTAGGAAATGGCCCTTAACACTGACCAGGTGGTCATCCTAAATTATTGTTAACCACCCTTCGAAGTGCTGAGGCATTTTTCCATGCCCACCCTCTCTTTTATTTAATTTCTAGGTTACATGTAAAACACAGTCTATTCTGGTAACCTAGCACTGAAATATGATATAGGGGCCCTTTATAGGTGATGTTTACCAGTTTCAGACTATGTTATTTTATTTCCCCGAATCTTCCTGTTCTTGAGATCCTAGCCAAGCATGAGGGGGCCCTCTGGAGTGCCCTGAGGAAGAATCTCCCAAGCTGCTTGCTACCATGCAGTAGTGCTGGATGTCTGGCAGTTAATTTCCAGCCAGAAGAATGTGGTTTAGAAATGCAGATGAACCACAGGTGAAAAAGTCCAAAAATGTCCCCATGTGCACTCACTGGGTGTCCCTCTGTTCAGAGGACAGCTGTGATTTAAGCCTGTTGTCCCTTGTCATCAAGAATGACAAAATCCTTTAAAAAATCCTTTATATCACGCACATTTTTGAGGGTCCAATCCAGCAAAATTAGCCTCTAAAACTGCTGGCCCATGGAATCTCTTCTCCTGTAGAGACTGTTCCCCATTCAGGAAGGGAAGTGTCCCCATTCTAATGCACACAGAATGTCTAATTCGTTCTCAATGGTGGTCTCCCTCACAGGGGAGGAGTCTGCTGCTCTGCCCAGCCCAGTCAGCAATTAGCCCCTGGAGAATGACACTGGGCACCAAACATGGATGTGAGCTCTTTTCTAGACATCTAGACAGGAGTTTGTGGGGTAGGATTAGTAGTGAATGGAGGCCCAAGTTACCAGCTTCTCCTGGCTATTAGCTCTACTGAGGTCCATGAAGTCAAATATGCATTCCCCTCAAAAGATAATCAGAGGCAGGAGTCTGTCCGTGTCGTGTTGTCCCCCCCCCGGTTAGAGGGTAGGAGGCAACTACTCTTCTTTGCTCACTTCTAGATACTTTGGGCTGGGAGCACGGCTGGTGTAGAGCCCTCATACTATGTATGAGACGTTCTCAGGGAGCTGTTTCTGCCCCTTTAAGGCCTTAATGCACCAAGCCCTTTATTTTGTTCTCGCTTCATAAGTGGTCTCTAGTCAATCTCTGTCAGTCTCTTTTTAGACACCCACAGATGAGCAGGTGTCTACTGGAACTCTCAAGATCTGCACTGCAGCAAATGGAGAAACTGACTCTATCAAGGATGTACTTCATTGGAAGCTAATTCAAATAAACTTTCCTCTTCTCCCTCACGCATCTTCACAACCTGCTACTGAGGAGCTGGGTGTGTTCATTTTGGTTTGTGCAGCAGATTGCTCTTCCTTCTGAACAGGTCACCATCGAGCAAAGCAAGCATCCAAGGTCCAGAGGCTATAAATGTTCTGTGCTTCACTGACTCCTTAGCTCTTACCAGGTTGCCTGAACACTATGTCAACACAACAGTCACATATATGCTACTACTAAGTTATCTCTGAGCTCAGAGGAGCATCTGTGTCATATTAAAACCATCACGTTCCACATACTTCACTTCAGACAGAACAGATCTCTCGCCATCAGAACACTGGGACCGCCGGTACTGCCGGTAGCTTCGGGGGGAATGTGAATGTCTAATACGGATTGGGTCACCTTGAGTCCTAAATGAGAAACAAAATTCATAGTAGCAAATTAATACATCTGAGACTTTGCACCGGAAAAGGAAGTTTAACTTTGAATTGTAAAATCCTCCCTTTTCCTATTAAGAATAACAGATGGCTTCCTGTGCTTACTGAATTCAAAGGACTGGCCCTTTCGTTATGTGTTTGTACTTCGAACTTTACATTTAAAGTTGCACAGTTCATTCTAAATGATACTGTCATGTGTGTACGTTGGAGAATGAAATTGTTGAATAAAAAAATGGAAAAAAAAAATCCATTCTGTGGAATTTTACCATCACTGTGTTTTTTGCTCAAGGGTACAGCAGAAGCACATTGTAAAGCAAACTGAGATCCCACTCCTGTCAGAAGCAGTTGCCCACACCACTACACAGCCTCCCGAATGACCAGTCGTCAGAGTGAAATGGATGTCTGCTCTGAAGGGACTTGCTATGCATTGGCAGCTGCCCATGATAAGCAGGGGAAGAGGGGTCACATAGGTCAAGCAGTGACTTTAAAGAATCAGAATAAAAAGGTAATTTTTTTAAAAAAGGAAAGGTTTAGAAAATAAATTTTCCCAAGGCGTTTGCGAGTGTAATGTGAAGAAAAAATGCTGACAGATGGCAGAGTAGGAGAGATGGTGGTTTTGTTAGCATTTAGTTAAAGGGAAAGTACCTGGTTTAAAAATGATTCAAGCGTCTTTACCCTCCCTATTTGACCTACTCCATTCTGGATCAAAATTTTCCAAGGAGTTCAAAATATCAGAGATTATCAGGAGGCCATTCTAGTCTCAGTCAAGCTATTCCAGTGAGAGGTTCTGATAAAAGGGATATTAGGCTATTAAGCATACATACAGAAAAAAATCATATTTCATAATGAATAAGCTCACTCTATTTTGGTGTATGGAATCTCTTTCAGCTGCTCCTCAGACAGGCCAGATGGATCCACAAGTTCCTTCCTGGAAAGGATTAGACAAGGAAATTGAAATTCCAAAAGCTACCAAATTCATAACAAACAATTTATTCCTTCATTTTATTAGACCACAAAGATTTTCTGGTACCAGCTGTGTTCATCATTAAAGCTATCTAGATGTCAACATAGGAAACCTATTTAGAAGTGTTCCTAAAATCTTGATCACTTCCCCTGGGTGTTGTACCTTATTGCCCCACCTTCTACCTGTTCTAGTCTTTTCAGACTCTCTGATCTGTGGGACAGGCACCGTATCTTCATACATGTCCGCAACTAGTAGAAGAGAGGCCCTGATCCTAACTGGTGCTGTACTGAAAAATAAATAAAAATAAGAACATTTTGGAGTCTAGATAGGAACACACCTTAACCCTCAATGAAATGTACTAGACAATAGACAGACATCATAAATGGACAGAAAGAAAAAAATTATAAAGTGTTCTAAAACGTAGTGGGCTTGATTCTTCTCGGCCCTGAGCAGAGCGGATATAGCACACTACCAAATCAGAATGTTAGTGTTTTACATCCACACTGCATGACATAACTGACCAAACAAGGTGCAGAACAGCAGTGACTCTGGCCCAATGGTTGTTCTTCCTAAATAGAGGCACCGTATACTGTACCTCCAAGTGTCACTAGTTCCAGTCATGTCCATGTCTTATTACCGTGTATTACATCCAAATGCTGAACATTCCTAAAGGCTAATTTCATTCTAGCAAAATGTTTTACCCACATGTTTGTTTTATAATTTATATAAAGGAACTAAAAGTTTCAAAATAACAATACTTACTGAATATGTTTCCATAACTCTTCCTTTGCTTGTACATCTGGGCTTCTCCTATAAACACCAACATTCACACAAAAGAGAGTCAGATATATAAAAATGTCAGATTACCTGATGTGTTGCGGCACAATGATGACCTTTAATGGCACACATCAAGGAAAGAAATCATGCCAAGTGTAATCTGACACTGACTTGAATGTTAAAGTTTGTTATCGAGGGGAAAGAATTAAACTTCACAGAAACTGAAAACTCATTTCTTGAATGAACGGCTCTGAGTTGAATCACAATTTCTTTTCCTCTTGCCTTCAGCAAAAGTATAAAACATTCCAAACAAAGGAGTTCTTTATTACAAGCTGAAGCAAGCTAGATCCACCTCTGCCTCACCCTATCCCACATGAACTTGGCACAGCTGAGGACTGAGGCCTCTGAGGGTATGTCTACACGGCAGCTGGGAACAAGCCTCCCAGTCCTAGTAGACAAACTAGTGCTAGTGAGGCTCACACTAGCGCTCTATGCCGTAAAGGGTTGTCTATAAATGACAATGCATTAGGTAGTGGGTGGGTTCTTAATTCTGCATGTTTGATTCCGTGTAACAGAGTATTACAATGCAGTAGCTTTGAAAAATCACCAAAAAATGCATTACATAAATTATGGACAGCCCATATGGATGTTGCAGCAGCAGCGGCAAGCCACTTGGACTGAAGGGGCAGGTCTGGGCTGGAGCTTGAGTGGCTAGCCTGAGCCTCCACCAGTGCCACAATGTCCACACAGTTATTTTTAGACCGTCAGCATGAGCCCCACTAGCATGAGTCTGTCTGCTTGGGCTGGAAGACTTGCTGCCAGATGCAGTGTAGACATACCCTATATTCTGGAGTTAAATTCACTCACTTGGAAAGGGTCTACACAAGCCCTCTTGCCACTTAAGGTCAGTGTAGAGGCAGGAAGGAGAAGATAGCGTGATCAGGAAGGGGGATATAATATATCCATCCTAGTAGTTTACGTGGATCCAATGATGAGACCCCTTTTGCAGTTTTGGTCACTATTCCACTCTATAAACTGGAACAAATGGCCAGGGAGGAAATGTACTGGAGCCCTAGGGCCTCTCTGGAGTTTGGGAGCAGAATTACTACTGAGTTCACTGCACAAAGACTGTTTCCTCTGGCTTTGTGTGGTGAGCGGTAAATTTCACCCAGTGTGATTCTGTACATGATTAATCACTAATGCCACATACAATGAAAAGGTTTTAGTCAGTGCACTGCTCATGGTGAAATATATAGCCAAAAGGTAGGAAAATTTCCTCTACTTTTCAGTTGAAGTGAAGCACCTAGTAAAGTGCATCTGACATCTTTTTGTCAATTACGGAAAACACTGTATGGTTACTCTGTAGCCCTGGCATTATATTTTTCTTATTTTTTTCTTTATAATGTCCAGTAAGTTTGTATTTCATTCAAGGGATAGTAGGGATGCACTCTTGTAGCTAATGTAACATTTGAAAATTCCCATTCATAGTCACCAAAGGCGATGCAGTCTAGTGGATAAAACATGTGCTTTACACAGCAGAGGGAGTGGATGAAGGTTGTAGTTTTAGTATCATTTCACAGAACTCTTTTCATTGTGATTGTAGCTAACACACTGATAAGAATTAAAGCTTTAAATTCTATGCCTCTTTGAGTTCAGCCATAGAAAGATGTGATAATATAAATATAACATTGAAAAAGCCATGTTGGCAAAGAATCATCTATTTAAATGGTGAAGTTAAGCAAGAAGGACCTGGGACACAGAATAGCTCAAGAGACTTGGTAAATGAGATACAAAGCATTTTTACTATGATGTTGGTTCAAATCCAAAGGACCAAAATGTGCTCAGCCCTGCAAGGATGCACAATGGAGAAGAGGGCCTGTCACAATTGTTGATTTTGCTCTCCCTGAGCATAAAGATTGCACAGGGCTAGTGTGCATGGTGGCACTAGCCTCTCCAAACGGCAAGAGGCTGCGACCTGGCCCCACACCCCTGCACTGGCCAATCATATACTGCATCCTCTAAAAGGGTATTACAGTTCCTACATTCAGCACAGCTCTGGAAGGTACAATGTCTCTTGGAGCACCCTGTGGGGAGGAACTCCTACATGGGGCAGTGCCTTCAATGTAGAAGTGAACAATGACCTTTGTTAAAATGAATTGGTAGTTTCAATCTAACAACTAGCAAACAATAAACCACCATCACAACTGGCACTCTTATAGGCAATCTCAGATCAACAGATGACTTCAGTGGGAGCCGGAGCAGGTTCTAAGTGAGGAGCCTAGGACTGAATGGGTATTGAGAATGAACCTCTTGGGATGTACCCTATCCACATCAGGGACCAGGCATCCTGACAGGCTAGCATGCAGGAGCTTCCATTACTCCTCCTTGTGTTGTACCTGCTTTATAGACAGAAGACTTCAGTCTCTGTGGCTGACATTCTGGCACCATTCATTCTTTGTCAACCTCCTACTGGCACTGGCCAAAATGGCCATCCATCAGTCCAGGAGGAGGAAGCTGAACCAGGGAGTGACCAGCAACTGTGAAGCCTACATCCATTTCCTGATTGTCTCACGCAGCTGGATAAAGTTCTTGTGTGCAGCATCCACCAACTCGCTGGACTCCTTTGCAAAGTGGTGGGTGCTGTCCAGGGCTCTCTGCTCAGCATCGTAATCCGGTTCCTTTGTTTTAAAATTTTGATCCTCACCCACGTTCCTGGTTTTTTCATTTTTTGTCCCATGCATTTACTTGGCTTCTGGGCTCTCTGGCCCTACCCTCATTTGAAGACCAAGTCTTTAGTTCATACTAGGCTTTGGTCTATCTCATCCCGCAACTGACATAGGTTGCCACCTTTCATAAACTCTAACCTCATTAGAGGAAAAAAGAACAATGAGGATGAAAGTGAATCCCACTTTTGGGTGATGTTTAATCAGGAAGGAAGAGCCAGCATTAACTCCAGTTGTACTTTGTTTAGCTTGACCATTTAACTGGTTATGCCTTTTCTAATGTTTATAATAGTAAATAAATAAGTAATAACTATTACTCTAGTTGAACCACAAGTTATAGGCTGGATGCTGGAATTACTGAATGAATTGACATGGCCTGCACTATGCAGGAGGGTCTCTTTTGGCCTTAAATCTCTCTGAATAATAGTAAGAATAATTAATTATGTTACATTTACATAGTGCTTTTCTTTCCCAAAGGTCCCATTTTTGTACAACTAACGTGTTTTCTCACATTTCTAGACATCAACAGTTCAATTTTTAAAAGCACTCAGCCCTGAACTCTGCTCCCTCTGAAATCATTGGGCTTCACTGACTTCAACAGGAGCATAGTTAGATTTTTTTGAAACTCTCTCACTGTAAACGAGAGGATAGCCAGAAATGCTCTGAAATGAAAGGGTACAGAAATCTGAAAGAAGAGTGGGGAGAGGTGGATATGGCAGAGTTTTGCATTTGTGTTAAATGTAAAGAAGCCTCTGCTGAATTGGTATTAGACGCCTTAGTGGCAGAGCCTAATCAAGATAGTTTTAAAGCTCCCTGCACTGCAGATTGCCTTTTCTTTTATGGAAAAATTAAAGATGTTTTTGTTTCACCTTTCACGTCTTTGAGTTATTTCTAGATCTCAGGCTAGGGGAATAACATTTAGTAACATTTGTTTTGACTTAATATTAAATGTTTTATAGATGATCTAGAGGTAAGAACTGTTAACTTTTGAGATTTTACAGGTGTTCAAGTGTTGAAAGATACAATAGTGACTGGCATGACATAAATACCAGAGAGATCAGAAACATGGAAATTACCCTTTGCATTTATGGTTCTCTAATGGCATTCAAAGTAAATCTTTTTACAATATTTTTAGGTTTTCTCATGAAATCTGATGGTGGTTTTTTTATGTATGTCAATGTATTTCTTCTTCTCTACCCTCCCACTTCTCCTCCTCTCTCTCTTCTGCCTGCAACTCTTTTTCCTCCTCTTCCTCCTTTCGTGTCATGATGCTTTCACCTCCCTGAGGTAGCAGCTAGGTATAGGAGTGGGGATTTTAATGGCATATTTCACCCCTTAATTCTGAACGGATTTTCTCCTTCCATTCAATCCCAGACTCACAAAGCAGCAGCTGTGAACTCTGCACTCACCCTGGGGCTCTTCTGAGTCTGAATAATCAGCCACTACGGAATGTGAAAGCTCAATGCAAGATGCACCCCAGCTCCTCAAGGGAGGCTACTGTGTTGCTTTTATAATGCTCATAAATCCTAGCTAGCCTGAGGTAGGAGAGCACCCAGATCACTCCTGAACCCAGTGCTCTCACAAGACAATGTATTGTGCAATGCACCAAACCACTGAATTAGACCACATTTTTATTTTTTTATGCAAATAAAACTATTCACTACTTGGCCCTGGATGTCCTAGTATCACTCATCATTGCCAGAAACCTGATTTGCATTGAGAAATCCTGATTTCTGGTGTAAAGTCTTAAGACCAGGCAAGATAAGAAACTACTTTGACTTTTCATCATTCTCTAAAAGGCACACATCCTGAACCTGTAAACAATTCCACTGCGTATTTCTGAGCTTTCATCCTTAATGTGTATCATTACTCAACATCAAGGGACAAGAGGCTTTCCCATTAAATCAAAGACATCCTTGATCCTTAATACCAAACAACAGTCTCTCTCTCTCCCATCCTTCCACTCCACCCCCCACACCCCTCATTTTATAATCCACAGTTCAGAGAAGAGTTTAGCTACTGTGTTATGAATAATGTATATTCAGACTGTCCTGTTATAAATCTGAACTGAGTTCTGAACAGACAGTATCTTCTGGACCATTCCTAAGATAATCAGATTCTCTAATGCTCAAGGAATCTAATGGAAATTTCCATTAAATGCTGTCTCCAAGTTTTTTTTTTTAATTTTATTTTAATTTTATTTTTTGTTTTTTTTTTACAAGCTCGAACAGCCCTAGATGCTAATAAGGTCTACATTAATTTATGCTTGCATCTGTACTCTTATTCACAATTCATTTTGAATTAATGATTTGCAAATAAGCAGCATTTAGTGGATTTAAATAGCCATGGAATTTAAATGGCCATTCTTCTCAATTAAAAAACCCCTTTGGCTACAAAGATGGTTTACCTGAACTCTTGAAAATAAGCCTGGCAGAACTAGAATTTGGATCTTTTTACATTTGCTGTTGCCATAAAAAGAAACAAGGGTCAAATACTTGTCAAATATTTTTCCAAGAAAAAAATGTAGCAAAAAACTAACATCGAATGTTATTCATTATCAAAGAAATTAAGGGTGATGAGCCCAATTAAAGCTGATTTGTCCCTCTACCTCAAGCTCCTAAAGTGAACCCAATTTGTAGTTAAATTGAATGCATGGCAGATAGTAGTTAACACAAAGGCCATGTCTATACTATTAAAATAACAGAGTTCAAAGCATTGTAAAATGTGTGAACTGGAATGAATCATGTTATGACTAGACTAAAACAAACAAACAAAAAACAAAACCACACCCTGCACTAGGGACCTGATTTTTGTCTGTCTTACATAGGTCAAGCCATGTTATCAGACAGCTGAGCCACAACCAAATTTAATAAATGCTGTTACACCCTACCGTAGCTTGAGTCTATCTGTCTTGTTTAATTTTGTATGTAGTGTAGATGTAGCTGTGTTGGTTCCAGGATATTAAAGAAACAAGGTGGGTGAGGTAATATCTTTTACCGGACCAACTTCTGTTGGTGAGAGAGACAAGCTGTGTCTCTCACCAACAGAAGTTGGTCCGGTAAAAGATATTATCTCACCCACCTTGTCTCTCTTGTTTAATTTTGCCATTTAAATGGTTAAAAAGCTTTTATTTGATCATTTTTGTAAGAAACATCTTTAAAGAGCTAATGTTTTCTTTTCCCAGGCTGTTTTTGTCCATGTCAAATGTTTTTATTGTCAATTTGTTTTGTTCTGTTTTGCTTAGAAAGATAAAACAAATGATGCATATATATATATATGAAGAGAAAAAAACATAATATCCCAAGATTTGTCTCCTCACCATCTAGGATCTTGTCTTGTTCTGTAAAGCACTGTGTACATTTATATTGCAATATCAATAATATTTAATGAAAATATAACCTATCAAAGCCTTTTACATCACTTATCTAATTCAGTGTTTCATCATTACATGAGTTAAACTAGCCATGAGAGGGAGCCTCTGGTGTCTCATTAATGTAACAGAAACTTATTTGGCAAAGAAAAAGTTAGTTACAAATTTTATGTAAGGGCTAGAAATTCAGAGTGCACTTCCTGGTTTAAAACATGCTCTCTATATAGGAGGTAACAAAAAGTAACGGAAATCACACTTACTCTATGTTTTACAGCCTCAACTCAAATGAGTTATTATATTGACACTTTTTAGCTATGTATTTTCCTATAATAAGTCTACCTATTAACATTTGATTTGTAAGTGATGGCAAAAGAAAACAGATCTGTACAGAGCCTGTAAAACTCTTAACATTTGGAATTTTAATGGCACTACCCATTTCTCATAAAGGAAGAAAAATGGTGACATATGGAGTTAGAGATAAAAATGGGTTCTGACGATGTTGGTAACCATGAGAACCGAACTCAGGTGGATTGTAATATCAGAACTGTGAAATGTCAACACAGATATACAGCTTTATATTGTAGCTTGGTTTTGTTCCTTATTTTCAATAGATTAGAGTAAAATAGTTGCACATTTGTATGTATTCATCAAATTTCATTTTATTTCCTCTGCACCCCGATGAATAAATCCTTCCAGTCACAAGTTATTAAAGTAATTTTGCAGATTTAAAAAAAAATCTTTTAAAGTGTGAAACAACCCTCTTAAAGGAAAGTCTTTTTTTCTCCACGGAGCTTCACTTTAAGGGGAAGCTCTCTAGAAGTAGAACTGCATGCTACACAGGGCAATGCATTGAAACAATTCAGGATTTACCCTCAACTTATCTATAAGCAAAGTTTTATTATATCTTTTCACTGGGGGGGTCAAGATCACCCCTCCTTACACAATGCGTAAATAACGCTCTTTGTATGGGGAGCTAAGCAGAGACAAAAAGCAGCTGTTCCATTCTGTGGGCAAAGTAGATGTCACTGCCCCTTTGCAGTCCATGCCCGGGGTCTGGTACCACTGGATGTGGGTAAGTATTATTTCTTGGTCCTGCTGTACCAGCATATTTTAAACCAACCTAAAACCCCACTGGTATACACGAATGCAGAGAGCCCCTACATAACCCCACTACCAGGCATAAGCATGCAGAGGATCCTCAACATCTGGATTTGTTGCATGCTATATGTGGGTTCAACTGTATTTATTCTCCCCACCCAACCAAGTTTTTAAAGTATTGGAACTCTTGATAGAAAAGTCTGACTCTGCCATTTTTATTAGCTCACATTTTGAAATCAATAGTTAATTTTGTGTTAACTTAGTAAACACACTGTGTTTACTATTTCCCAGCCTCTTGGGTGCCAGAGTTTGAACTGTGTCTACTGGTGACATGGAGATGCAATGTCCCAGCAAAGGCCTGGATCTGTACACCAATTCTGTATTAGAAACATTTTGTTATTTTTATGGCATAAATCTATAAATTGTTATGAGGGGAAATAAATTCAGCAATTTGATGTTTCACACAGTTCCAATAGTTCTGGCTTAATATGGAAGGTAACTTAAACTTGTATTATCAGACTGTAGCTGGGTAAGTGTTTAGAGTGCATTACCTTGCTCCCATATTAAGCCACAGGCATCGTGGGATGGACAATTCATCCATTTTAGCCAGGCAACTAGGCGATGGTAGTAGTCAAGATACTCTCTTGAGTACTCTCCCGGGCCTCCCAGCTGGTCTCCTGGCACTCTTCAACATGCTTTCCAACCCTTCTCCTCTGCCATGGATCCTCTGGCACTTTCCTTTAGATACCTGGGACCCCCACCCTTCCTTTCACTGTTTCTCCAGTCACAAATTATGCTGGACATTAATGCTACAAAGAATATTATTCCTGGTAATCTCTCTAAACCCTGACCATGCACAGATTAAAAAATAATCAATACAATGTTTTCATTAGTTCACAAGAAAATTAATTTTAGGAACTGGCAACTTCGCTGTTCAGTGGATGGCTGAACATATGCACGGCATTGCCTAGCAACACCACTCTATCACGGAAATCTTGACAGCAGGTTGTAATAAATCCCTGACTGCTGCTTACAGATGGTAATTTGAAGTGAAGCTGTTAGTGGCTGGTCTAATCTGGACCAGTATTTCATAGATTTTTTTTTTTTGGCTAAATTAAATTGTGTGGGAATTTCACAAAGAGCAACCCTCACATACTGTAGTAAAATAAAATGTCACTTGTAGATCTTAACTTGCTGTACAAAGGTGGGGAACGTTATTACGCCCATTATACTGAACTCCTTTGGCCCCGGGGCTGTGGTGGGGAGAGCAAGGTTCTCTGGCCCCCAGACCTTGAGAGGAGAGTGAGGTTCTCTGGCCCCCGGGGCCATGGTGGAGGCACAAAATGTGCCCCTCCAAAAGCCACAAAAAAGTCTGGTGACTTGCTCAAGCTCACATATTGAGTCAGTGGCAGAGTTTCTAATAGAACTCACATCTCCTTACTTCCAGCCTCATGCTCAAACCACTACACCACTGGAGGGGGACTACAAAGTGGACTATTCCTAGAAGTCATGCTAATTTGAGATTAAACCAAGTAAAACTTCAATAAAGTTGCCATTCTTGAACAGTCTTCAGAGAAGTAATAATAATTCGGTCAGAATTATTTGTCCTGGTGCAAAATTCATTACAGTGGTCTTTGATTTCACGTCAAAGTGTGGAAATGCTCACGTACGATCGAGATCTGTGCCTGGATCGCCTGTAGTTGGGATCAGCCTGGTTTTTCTCTTTTTGTTGCCTCAGTACTGCTTCCCATTGAGGAGCTGAATCCACCATGTCATTCTCCTGCCGTAACCTGCATAAAGAGCAACACATCTAGAGTAAACATCTGGAGAATCAATGCTTTGGCCTTGGGTGTGTTTTGCAATATTTTCTGAGGGAATTCTGGTGTTATTCAAACGGCTATCTGGGCAAGGTAAGCCAGGGCACAGGTCACCCCAATAATCAGCAGGGGCACTGAACTCCTTTGGCCCCGGGGCTGTGGTGGGGAGAGCAAGGTTCTCTGGCCCCCAGACCTTGAGAGGAGAGTGAGGTTCTCTGGCCCCCGGGGCCATGGTGGAAGCACAAAATGTGCCCCTCCAAAAGCCGACAAACTTTTATTCCTGTGCCCTCCCCTGCTGCTATCTTAAAAAGAGCTGATCAGCAAGCTTGGTTACAACCGCATTTACATAAGATTCATAACTTTCCTTTTACTTCACTTATTTCCTAAAACCATTAAAAAAACAATAGCTTGTATCAAAGAAAACAAAATTTATTTAGAAATTTAAAAAAAATTCAGTTTGTACAAGAGGAAAACCAATCCAAACCAGTAAAACATGGCCTCCAATTTGTATTACACCATCTTCCTAACCTAAGCCAAAAGCACTCCATAGGGTTGTACGCTGATTTTATTTTGCTTTTCAGATCCACAGACTTTTAGTATAAGTCTGGTATTGCAGTTCATGTTTCTGCAATTGTTTCTAAATACTCTGGACCAGCTTGCTCCCTTCTGTGGCAAAACCACTAACAGGAGCGTAAGGAGTAGGAAGAGTTCACAAGGATCTCCTTGCAGAGTACATGCTCAAAAACAGTCTGCAGGATCAAACCGTAAAGCCTGAAACGCCCTCAGGATCTGGGTAAATTCCAGGGAGGAGGAGGAGTCCAGGACTATCTTCACCATGAAGCTCATTACAGCTATGGCTGCAGACCTGGCAGTATAGCTCTAATGAAGCCAGGCGACCAGGGCCTCCCTTGCCCACAGCTGTGTTGAGACCTCTCCAACCCACCCATTTCACCCCAAACCTGCCAAGTCCTTGCTGCAGCCCCCCTGCAAGGCCCTTGGATTCACATGGGATGACATTATATGGGATCCAGAAATGTGAGGGACACGGCCATGGATGCTGCTGAGTCTCCCTTGCATGCAGGAGGCAGATCTATGCACAGAGGGTTACCTCCATGTATGGATCCAGGGGACAAAAATGAAAAGAGAAGTCCAGTAAATGTCCTGAGGGTTTCCCTAGAGAATGACACTGTGAAGTCAAGTGCCTGTTGTTTGTAAGACCAATGCTTAAGAGGTTCAGAGTACCTAGTTACTATAGCAACTGATGCTTTAGAGATAGATGGAATGGATTGCTGTAAGTGAGGAGGTCAAAAATAGTCCAGGCACTTGCAAGTATCCAATCTAGAACACGTTCTGAGAATAGATCCTATTTGGAAATTTGAATATCTGTTGTTTAAAATGAACAGTAATAGTTCTTTCCAAATGATTTCACTGATCTCTAATGTCTAACCCTTATTCTAATAATGCCCAAAACAGATCAGTGTAAACTGAGGTATAATCTAATGTAATAAATGAGAAATGTACCAATGAGAATGTACTTAAAGGCAGAAACCCATATACAGTGCACTAGCATAGCTAGTGTTTATCTCTTTTGACAGGGTTTAAAAGCAAATCCCCTATAGCCTTCTATATCCCTAAAAATGTCCAAATTCTCTACAAAGAGGTTTCAGTGCCAGTTCTACCCATTTATTTTCAAATGCAATTTTTTTTTTAAATGACAGATCCGTGAATCAGTCCATGATTCACAGCTACGGCAGATTGGAATGAATGTCAGCAATGAATTATAAGCTCTGCATCTCTAACAACAAACTGATCTTATTTCAGGGTGATGCCTCCAGCCTTAAGCTGATGCCTTAACAATCAACATGTTAAGGCAAGGTCGTTCAGGCCTAGCCAAAAGTTAGCCAGTCTTGGAGGTGGAGATGTTTATTAGGGGTGATCAGATGCAAAGATGGAACAGGCAAATAGGATCTGAAACTGTTTAGCGACAGCACTGAATATAATCCTGCAGGAATTTAGAGACAGACCATGTGAAATACCACTCTGAGGGAGGAGGGTGTCTGATATGACAATAAACTAGGCATACTAAAGAAACCTGAAAATAGGACTGGGAAGGAAAACATGAGAAAAAAGATGCCAGAAAGATATTTCTCTGACAGGCTGGCTGATCAAGAGGGTCAGAAAGGAGATATCACTCCCTTGGGAATATAAGCTATTTTATTCCTATTGTTATTGCCAGTAACAACCTTTATGTAGATGAATTTTTAATTATATCAGGTTAGTGATGTTATGCAAACTGTTTCTGTTTCTTTCATCTCATTTTCTCTATATATGTTTAATGACTCTTGGGCTGGATCCTCAACTCGTGCAAATCAGCAAAGCTCTGTTGCATGGCACAAAGCAGCCAGAACACATTGGAGCATCAAGTCTTCACCTCTAAACAAGTCACTTTAAACCTGTAATCTGCAGTAGCAAGAATTAACATAAATTTATGTATAGAAATGTAATATAGGAACTCACATATCAACAGGTAATTCATTGTGATTTTCATCGAAAATCAGTCAGTTTGTGGAAAGGGCGGCCATCATACATGGTGTAAATAGTGTCAACTGCCTTGATATAGTACAGTCGTTTAAACCTGTGCAAAATGCTACCAAATCAGAATGGCAGTATTTGACACCAGTTTTGCTCATTTGTGACTACAAATGTGCCAGGCAATGGAGAACCAGGCACACTATCTATTAATAGATAGATAGATAGATTCCAGTCTGTTGAGGAGGCATGTAACCTCTGCTGGAGGTAAGATTTCATGAATATTTAGTTGTCTAGCATAAAAAATTAAAACCCAGCTGCAATACACTACAGACTACAGCAGAGCATGATGTATGCACCCACTGGCTACAATGTGAGTGAGATTGTACACCTTGGTGATAGTGTTTGAAATTACATTCCTGTGCTGACCATCCACTTTGTCAATAGGCTTCTGATTAATGATCTTTCATTAATGAAATAAACAAGTCCTTTCTTCTGCAGCCCACACTACTACTGGAAATCCTTGGGGCTAATAGGGAATGAAATAACAACTACAGCAGGAAAGTGCTTTTCTACAGCTGAAAGTCTGACAGTCCTAAAGATAAAGAATGACAAAATAAAAAAGAGAAAAGAAGATCTCGCAGACTGGGTATAGGTTGAAACCACCATTGGTTTCTGAGCTAGCAAAGATTCAAACACCACAGTTCTGTGTTATTTCAAGCTAATACTTTTTGGTTAAACAAATACAATGTGATGAACAAGAATAGTTTTCAAAGCCGTTTTCAGAGCTGGTATGACACTGGTGAGATACAACCATTGTACTAAGTGTTGTCCATGCCAGGATCAGAACTGTGCAAGTAAACATGTCCATAGCTAGAATATTTCTGACGGTAGCATCCTGAAACAACTTCAATAATTATGAAAGATTCCCAGGCAATCTTCATCCAGTGATTTCCAAGATTTAAATCCAGAACACATGTATAAAATTTGACTACCTTTGGACATTCCCTTCAGCTATGGAAGAAAGTACTTCTCCCCTTGCTCTTTCCCCAGCATGCACTGGTTTCACACTTTTAAATCTTCTTGATTTGAAAGTGGATGAGGTACTATAGAACAGCACTTCACAGTGAGGTGCTGCTCTTTGACTGAAATACAGAGAAGGAGATTGTAATTATTTTCCAAATCTGGGACCACTGCTAAAATGAGATATTGCCTTGAAGCTTTTCCCCTTTTTGTCATATAGCAACATTTATCTTCCACATCAGTTTTTGTGAGCTCTGTGTAAAAATTGGAAATTAAATCTGAGCCTGAGAATCCAGATATTTTACTTTCTACTTGTAAAAAATCTCTGGAAACTCTTCATATATTGGATATTAAAAGCGTTAGGACATAAATGTTAGATACAGGAAAGCAAAGACTTGCACTAGAATTTCTAACAACTTCCTACTGTTGAAATCAAACTTGCTGTTTCCCATCTGGCTCTGTATTTGTCAGTCTTCAGATGCTCTAATTTTTTTTATTGCTTCTCCTCCCCCTGAAAATATATGTCTTTTTCAGGCATTGGTTTGAGAACACTGATGCAAAAAACTCATTTACTTTTTCAGCACCTCTCCATTTTTTTCAGCCTTCTCTGTCCATAAATTACCCTTACTAGCTCTTAGAGATGGCATTGTCTCCTACAATGATTTCTTGCTCCACGTGTACTTGAAAGATGTCTTATTCATCTTCACCTCTTCTGCAATTTCCTCATTCTCCATCTTTGCTTTTTATAATTTTTACAAGTTCTTGCCCTCAGTTGGCATTTTCAAGCCAGCCTTCCTCTACTCCTGAGGCTTTCTTCCTTCTATGCTTCTTCGTTAACCTTTAATATTTTTTGCATATCCTAGTTAATATATATTGGCCTTTTAAACATTCGAATATATGTATTTCTGGATGGTAAGCAAATCGTTGGGCATGCATTAATTTATCTCTGAATACTTTATATTTCTGCTGTCTCCTTTCCTACTATTGCTCTAACACAATTTCACCCAACAATAACCATCATGTTTACATATCTGTTTAATTTGCAGCAAATATAGTATTGAAAAAATCTCAATATATAAAGTACCAAAGCAGCTAAAAAAACAAGCAACATCAGCAAACAAAAAACACCAGTGTTGTATCTCTGCAGGATTCGGATTAGATGTGGTTATGAAGCTGTGACGATTTGGGGAATGTGTCTATGTAAAGCTTACAAATTCTGAATTCTGGTTGATACTGGGGACTCTCTGTGTTCCTATGTCAGAATGTCAGCTCTATTTTGAAAGTGGAGCTTGTTTGCCTTTCTGCCTTTTTGCCTCCATATTGAGCTAAAACCCAAAGGAGAAATTCTTCCACCTGGCACAGGGCTAGCAATGGTCATTAAACTGTAATGATCATCCATTCAAATGGAGGACTCTTGGACA